GTGAAAACATTGTTCTTGGCTAAAGTCTCAATAAATAATTATAGAAAAATCACAATACTAGTAAATGAATGGCTTTTCCACTTGATATTGTAGACATTTATGAAAAAAGTGCATAGAAGTTAAGGAAAGTGATCAAAACAACACAAAATAACTTAAATGTGGTAATTTAAATTAGATAAGGGCATTGTTTACACATACAGTATAAAGACATTTACCATAGTGAAAAGGTATTCAATGATGTGAGAGAGCACAGATGAACTATGTCAGGCTACCAGCTTTTGTCTCAGTGCTCTACTCCTTGCACTATTATGAGACATCTGATTTGTTCAACATTTTAACAAATACCCCCAAGATAAATGCTGCCTCAAAGTGATTAATTTATTACAGAAGGCTCAGTCATGGTGCTCCATTGATAACTAAACCTTAACATAATTCTTAGACATGCAAGCGCTGCAAAATAAATTGCCTTTCCCCAACAGAGACAAATCGCAAATCAACTGAAATAACCTTCACGAATAAATTTACATTCCCACATTAGCATGCTTTTAATTTTTTTCCTCAATGACATTGCTATTTATGGTATTAAGTTCTATTTTAAAAAGAACAGTAAACTATTATATTGTTTAAAAAAAGCACGTCTTTGACTTGTACACTGTATTGCTTTTTTAATCTTTTTTATACAGTACTTAACATCTTCACATTTACCTTCAAATTATAACCAGATTCATAAGTTGTTTTGCACCTAAAAAAATTTATGCTCAGTTTTGATATTTAACATTTAAATGCATGTGCCTTCATTGAATTATTGCATAGTTTCTCAGTACGTTTTCCAGCCCTGAGGAACAGGAGCTAATTTCTCCTATATCCTATATCCTTTCACCTCTCGCTTTTTAAAACCATTTTGGTCCTCTAGCAATTATATCCAACTGTGTGATAGTTCCGTATATCTGCCACTTACTGTTCATTAAATGTCAGTAGGAATTAAAGGCAAGAAAGCCCTGCAGGATGAATAATGTAATATGTGAGGCATTAATTGACTGGTGTTCACTACAAAGAACCTGGTGAATCTCTTGGATGCAGAAGAGCGATCGATATTGTTGCCCAGAAGAGATGTTCTGTTGTTGTGCTCTCAGATATGAATATTAATGACTTGTGGTTGGAGGCACGAAGTAACAGATCGACCGTTTTATAAATAATAACTGGGTGAGATGATATGGATTTTTCAAGCCTCTCTTAGAAACATTTTGCTAATAAAACTAATACATCATCTGCGCTACAAATGAGACGTTGGACACTCCGGTAAGACCACCTAACTGAGCTGTGTTAATGGATGAACACAAATACTAATATTGCACTCACACAGTGATATTTGGTGTATTAAAAGCAGTATTTTCACATTTTCGCCTATGTTTTGGCTATAAAAAAACCTTACTGCCGGTTGCGTCTGAGGTCACAAGATGTTATTCTTTTCCGGCTGTGATGCAAAACAAACATATGCACTGTTCAAAATGAACTGCAAATAGTCACAGCTGGTTACTGGTGTATTATTCAAGTTCAGGTCTGTGTTTGTTTGCCTCCACGAGTCTAGCCTATGTGTGCTTTATGTGTGTAAGCCTGTAAATAATGCATTTCATGTTTAACTTTTACCACTGCTTCCCGTTCCATTTTCCAGCCTTATTCCGAGTCCGACAGCTGGCTTCATTGTTTGCGCTTCCACATAATTGCGTTACATGTGATTACACTTGGTGTGTGAACAGCAGTGTTACTTCGCAGGCGTTCCATCTAAACATGAACATCCACAGTCATTAGAGCTAGGTTAGCTTATACTGATGCAAGAGGTACTTAGCCCTAATGTACCACCATTTTCATCATTATTGTGCAAATTTATGCAGCTAAGTGCAGCAAAAAGTCCTCTCATCACCTACACTGGGAGGAACCTGATTGTGATGTAAGGTTTTCCACATATTGTTGTTCTTGAATGCACAGAGTCTCAGAGGAAGATGTTGTTATACAGGATACGTAAAACATTTATTGAAACAAATGTTTGAAACTGAGTCGTTGTTCTGCTCAGTGTTCTCTTTAAAATACTCCGTATTTTTCTAGGTTTCTTTTTTTTTGGTATACTGCAATATCCTGGGTCCTGGGTAAATTACAGAAGACTTTGAATACTTTAATTTTACTCTGCCTGTAGAGTGTAAAACAGGGGTGTTAAACATAAGGCCTGGGGGCCGGGATCAGCCTGCTCCATTCTAGCCCACTGGGCAGCTTTAGAAAATGTGAAGATGGGCATAAATTTTGGGCTTTTAACTGCTTTGTCATAAATTTTGCAGCTTTACAATCTGGGCAATGAAATACTAGAACTTTTTCTGTCATTGTACACATTTACTTTTTACAATTTAAGCCCAAAGAATCATACAGATAGACTTCAACAGCATTTCTTTACGCCATAGAAAAACTGTATTGTTGACATTGCGCTTCTATTTCTTATGTTAAAATAATCTCAGGGATTAAATGTGTTTTTAAAGTTCTTTACACTGACACAAAGAAGAATTTCGCTGACCATTTTACAATGTAAAATGTGTTTAAGATTTTGTTTTGTTTACCTCGCCTACTAACTATTCCATTGTGTTACTGGTTCCTTGGTGAACTTTACTCACATAACTGGATTCACTTATTTGAAGTCGTCCCCTGAAATAAAGCATCCTGCACACAGGATGCACTTTGCTAATGTCTCACCTTTAGAGGAGCATATTGCTTATGAGTCTCATAGGATCAAGCAGCAGAAGATCATTTGTCTTCCCTGCTGTGTGCATGTCTGTGTGTGCCTCTGAGAGTTTTCATACCTTAAATGATGTGCGTGCATACAGAGTTTATGTATTTAGATGTCAGTGGCAGTCTGTGTTACGTGTGTATTCTTGGAAAGCAGTGTCAGATATATCAGTTATGATAGAAAGTAGAGGAATTACAGAAGATCCACTGTTTCCCCAAGTGGAAAGAAAAAAAAAAGTAATGCAGTAGAGCATGGCTGGACAAAAAGCCTGCCGCCACTGTTGTGTGATTAAGGACAAGGTCTGAGCCATTGTGGGGGGGGGGGGTAAATTATTCAGATAGCTGGAAAAAAAAAACCCCAAATGTTGTTTACACAAGTACATCCTCGCACGTGTATGCTGTGCAGGACTGATAGCACAATGAGAGAAAATGTCTTTTTCGAGTGCCTGGTGTGGCAATTAGCGCATATAGGGTGCGGTGTTGAGAAGCAGCAGCTTTGAATTCTTTTATCTTGAAGGTAAAACAGGCTGGATGTATACATGAGTTAGCCATAAATTACTTACAAACCATATGTATACTGCAATTCTTTATTTCCTCTTTCAATTACAAGTTCTGTTTATAGTCTGTACAGCACTGAAGGCACACAAAAAAAACAATAGATATAATGGAACATAAGTATATACAAAATATACAGAATAAATAATTAACTCTAGTTAAGTAGAAAAGCTACAGAGTGTGTGCTTACATGAACCGTTCCAAATGTTGAGTTTCCAAGAGTATGAAGAGCAAACAGTATAAATGCAGAATAACGACAATGTCTACATTGCACATGTCACTCGCCAACTCGTCAGCTGTTTATAATGTGAGCTGGGAAACAGAGAGAAGTCGGCTGGAGTCTGTTTTCTATCAGGCTGTCTGTGGAAAACTGGACCTTCGCTCGCTTTCGGGCAATGTTATGTTCCAGGAAGTTAATAAATGTCAGCACGAGGAACGAACAATGTTCCCAAATGCTGTTGTCAGACAGAAAATAGTGGCACACGTCTCACACACAGACACTCAGACACACACAGATCAATGATATTCCACATTAGTGGCTTTTTTCATCAAAAGCTTAAAAAAAACAACAAAACAAAACAAATTTCAGCAGGACTCTGATTGTCATGCACCATCTTATGGCATTTGATTAGTGCAATGCATTTTTACAACATTACAGTGGTGTATATACTTTACTTGAAGTGCTCTACTTACTGACTCAAGAAATAAAGACGTAGCTTGTACAAAAATAAATAAAGTTCCTATGTCGTGTCAATTAACTGACAGAAGGATAGCTTTCAAACTGCACTCCTATCCCTGTATTTTTTTTATATATATATATATTTTTTTATGTACATGTTGGCAATTTGCTGACTCTTCGGCACAATGAGCATTCTGGTTGCGGCAATCCAGCTGGCTTATGTTGACAGAGGATGTAATCAGGTCATACCCAGAGTCAGGGTAAACTGATTAAACAGCATTTCTGGGTCAAGTGATGATTGAAATGCACTCACTTCTTCCCAAACATCTGCTTTATTCCGTCGGGATGTTGGAGCGTGAGGGGGATGGGGAGGGTGCTATGTGGATCGATTCATTTGGCTGCAGTAACACAGCAGAGATGTAATTAATCATTTAAAAAACCCCAAAAAAAGTTGGTTTCAACACAGGTCTGTTCAACAGACTGTGAGTTTTAACCTCTTAAACATCCAACAGGGTTCGTATTAGGGTTGGGGTTTAGGGTATTTTCATAAAGCAGAAGCTGATGCTGTTTAACTGATACTCTGTAGTTTTCATCTAACAGTCTGTGTGTGAATGGTGTGTTCCCCTTAACCCTAATCCTGAACTCAACCCTAGACAGCACACGCTCATCTCGCGTTAGGTTCGGGTTTTGTTTTGGCCACAGCAAACTGAATCTTTGAAGATGATGTTATATTTCAAATGACGTCTCAGTGGTCCTGTGGAGATTAAGCGGTTAAGTTATATTTGGCCATAAATAATGACACCTTTTACCAGCTACATAACATGGCTGTCAACAGATGAAACATAACAAAAGAGTCAACCAATTACATTCTGTGCTACAATTTAAGAGATGTGCCCATCATATATCTATATTTATATTTTACACTGTGGCAAGTACAAGAGGGCAAAAAGGACAAGGCACTTAGATCAAACATTTTATGTATATATATTTATTATAACTTCGTAAGCTCAGTTAAATGCAGTTTGATGCTCCAGAACTTCCAAATAGTCTGGTTCAGTATGCAGGTTAGCTTTGAGTTCAAAGTACTCGTTTTTTGTTTGCTCAAGCATGACCTTGTGCGGTCTTGAGTACATAATTGTCTCCATTAGTTTCACCTCCTCCTGGTGCCCTGGAACCTGCATGTCTACAGCAGGCTGAAGCTGAGGCATATTTTTTCTCAGGTATTCTGTTATTCCCAGCTGCTGCAGCTCCTTCTCCCTCTCCAGAATGTTCCTGTACAAGGAGTTGGGGTTGCTGAGAGTGACAAACTCCGCGGGGCACTCTCCGGGCATGGATCTGAACTTTGAGCTGGGGTTTCCCGTGAGGGGCGACGTGTTCTCCTTCTCCATGATGCTCCGGCAGAGGTGATGCTTGGAGCTGGGCTCGTCGAGGTTATAATCCATATCGGCGTCGTGCTCCTTGTGCTGAGAGCAGTAGGTAGGGTTGCGGCAGATCTGCACGATGGGACTGTGCGACCTGTCCTCGTACAGAGTGGTGGACCCCGTCCTCTGTGTCAGAGTTTGGTGAGTGGTTTTCTGCCCATACATGCTGTAATGCAAGTGAATGGGGGAGCTACTGCTGGTGTTTTCTCGTGGCTGCTCCTCTGCTGCTTTTTTCTTCGCCCTCCGCCGTCGCCGATGCACGACGAACACCACCAGCCCAGCCGAGCAGAATATGACCATGAGGACAAAAACAAGAAGGCTTAAAATGAGCACAGACAGTGGGATAGTGTCTGTGAGTGAGATGAGGAGACTCCTCTCATCGCTGTTGGGCCCCAGGGTGGCTGTCACACTCTCTTCATTTGAGGGCAATGGGTGGTAGGTCCCTAAACCGGGACAAAGCACCTCATGATGAAGGCTTCTCAGGTCGGTCTGCATCACTTTCTTTGGCATGTGACACAAAATGGAGCCCACCACTGTGTCCTTTCTCAGTTTCTCTACCCATTGTTTGAGGCTGAGCAAGTCACAGCTGCAGTCCCAGGGGTTGTCCTCTAAATAAATCTGCTCCAGCGAGTCGAGTTGATCGAGCACGTTGCTCACTGGCAGGTGCATAAGCAGGTTTTTTCTCAGGTTTAATTTGGCGAGAGGCACGTTGCGAAATATCTGCGCTGGAAGAGAGCTGAGCAGGTTGTTATTTAATGACAGCAGCTTCAGGTTTGGCAGGGGATTAAATGTGCCTGGTGCAATCTCTTTGATGAGGTTGTATTCCAGATATAGGTATTCAAGGTTGTGCAGTCCTACAAACATGGTAGAGAAAAGCTTTTCAATTCTGTTGCCGTTTAAGTAGAGCTTTTTCAAGCTGCTTAAGCTGAGGAAAGTTTCATTATCAATGTAATCGATTCTGTTGTTTGCCAAGTTGAGCAATTCTAAACTATCATATGTTACAAAGTCGTACTTCAGAAGTTTCTGAATCATATTTCCCGTCATAACGAGCTTAGTTGGGCTTTCCTTAAGTATTCCGATATCTGACACCTTTTGAATTCCTCGGTCTTGACAATGCATCAAGAACCCAGCCACGGGGTGATTGTGACAAGAACAATGCTCCACACAAGGACTGCTGGGAATGTGAGATGGTGTCGGGATTCTGCCGTCATCCTTGGCATTGACCAACTTGGGAATCTGAGCTACTTTGGATGAGGGAGTAACAACCATATCCAGTGACTTTGACGGCTCCTCTAAGGGAATATTGGCGTGGGATGGACAGAGGATGTCCCGCTTCACCTTTGCCAGAATGGACCCCTTGAGGTCATGTGGTGTGGTGCAGATCACATCGCTGATTGATGATTGGGCTCTCATGTTCTCCATCCAGATTTTTAAATGTAAAATGTCACAGTTACAGACCCAGTCATTGTCTTCTAGGAGGAGTTCCATTATGCGCCCAATATGCTCCAAAAAGCCGACATAGGGCAGTGTCTGGAGCTTGTTGCCACGCAGGTCCAAGTGGGTGAGTGGTACAAATCGGAAAATGTTGCTGGGTAAAAACTCGATGGAATTGTCATTGAGAATGAGGACCTTGAGGCGGATCAGTTTGTTGAAGGCCCCTGGCTCGATGACCCGTATGAAATTTGTGTCAGCTTGGAGAAATTCCAAATTCACCAGGCCTTGAAAAGTGTCCTCTTTCAGTGTGACGAGGAAATTGCTATTTATATGGAGTTTTTTCAGCGAACCGAAAGTGCTAAAGACCCCTGGCTCCAGCTCTTGTATACTATTACCCCCGATGTGCAGTGAAAGGGCACTCTTAAGCCCTTCCATTTCCTCAGCACGGAGCTCAACCAAGTCATTCTTGTAAAGGTTCAGGTGGAAGGGCACACCTGCTGGGACTTTGATTTGGGAGATTTTGCTGATGTTTCTCTGCTCGCAGTTAAGATGAAAGATGCCGTCTTTTCTCTCGCAAGAGCACAAGGAGTCACAAGACTCACTAATGGAGGATGATGCCTCTGAGGGATGGATATCTTGGGATTGGACCGCAGCGAGAAACAAGCCGATGAAAATGACACAGGGCAGCATTTCGGCCTGAGAAATCTGTGAAGAAAGGATGGGCAGAAGGGGTGGGGAGGAAAAAAGAAAAGTGTTAAGCAACTATGTTGCAGAAGGTCAAACTCAAACACGATGTCCTAAATAACTGTGCCACTTACACGTAGCATTAAAATTATATTCAGTCTCATTGTCAGTGATCCAAATGTCATTTAAGTTTCATATGTTGCAACAGCAAGTTTATGTTATGTATGTGTAAAAGTGTAAAATTATATTTATGAGTGCATCATATGCATGAAGAGTAACACAGTTCTTCGGTCAAAGCCTTTATGTAGTGTAGAACTGTCCTTGCACAGCCTTAATTGCATGAAAAATATATAAGACTAGAAAACAATGCTAACAGTGTCCAGTATTCTCTACACATTGTGTTCAATTTATGTAATTTTAATACAATTTCCCACTCCCTCTTATAGTCAGCATGCTTTACCTATATTTAGATTTATACTTGCACACTCTGATTTATTTACGAATATTCTCTTGATTTATTGACTTTTTAATGTATGACTATGCTGCAGTACGAAAGAGACCATCTTTGTGAGTAAATTATATCGTATTAATTTCTTATGAGATATACAATACATGAATGAATTTCATGCAAACTTGTGACGCAAACAGGACAACCAGATCTCTGTTGATCATCCGTGGCCATCACAAAATCCAACATCTACTGCACAGCAAAGGTACATATTTTGTTATTTTAGTGGAACTGGAAGCAGCTACACACACTTTATTTTTACTGGAAAAAAAAAATCTTGGAGCTTCATGTTCTGATCATTTTTTCTTTCACTTTAGTGTGTAATGAATGCACAGCAGTGGGCTTATTTTTCGCAGGCTGTGAGTGTGTGTGTGATCTGAAAACACTGTGTGGTTTTTGAGCTCTGACAAAGCTGTTTTGATGCGACTGGTTTCGCCAGCATTGTCAGAGGTTTAGTAAGGTGTTGTTAACAGTTTTACAAAAAGGGGTGGAGATGTCTTAGCAACTGTGAAAACTCTACGAAGTATTCTCTTCTTTCTGAATGTTTACACCTATGTTGCCTTTACTCAGTATATGTAGCATCATCTCTAGCTAATGGCACGCCTATTCATCCAATAAAACACTTCAGAATTAAGACTCCCTCCCGGGGCACTGCATTTTACCGATGAGTAAATAAATTCCACAGGGTGAGGACTGAGATCAGACAGCAACTCTTCCCAGTGACTCAGTGGGATAATGGTACATTATTTAAAAAAAAAAAAGAGGCAGAGCGAGAGAGAGAGAGACTCATTTGACTGATTTGTCTGCCCTTTATATGCAGGCTCGTCTGAACAAAGACGTAGTGTGAGTCATGCAAATGCAGAAGTCACTTCAATCCATGTCAAAGCAACATTTAGAACAAGCATTCTACATTTAGAACGTGAAATAAATGACCCCGTTTTATTGCAAAACCAGCTAACTCACATGAGGCTGGACTCAAAGAGAATTAAATCTGAGCCAACCCTGTATTCATACATCTGAATTCTTTCAAATACTCTTGACTGTATTATTTTACAAACTATATTAAAGCAATAAACCGAAGCGTGTGGAGGGGCAGCTCGGTCCACTGAAAACAAAATCAAACTGTGAGTAGGATTTATGTTGAATGACAAGGGAAAAGCTGAAATCTGATTTTAATGATGAGCAGCCTGTGCACCACATTGAAATCTATTACATTAAGTCGACTAAAATCCCGATGGATCAAAGGCTAAATCACTCTTGGGGGACTGGTGCAGAAGTGTAGACATCTTCCCTAGATCACGAATCATCTAGATATTCACTGTTAACGAATGGGATTCTTCAAAGAGGAAAGACGTGAGAGATGACAGCCGTTCTTGTTAACGAATGCGATTAGTAACTGGAAAGCTTCATTCTGGCAAGACGGGGCAAGCCAATCCAGCCTGTGTTTGTCAGAGAGTGAAAGCTATGACTCAAGATATATATCGAAATAATACTCAACTGTCTCTCTTTACAAAGCTGGGGAAATATCTCCCCTTTACGCAAAGTCAGAGACATGTGGGGCATATTTTCTGGGGGTGTTTGCAGTTGCCTGTGCCCTAAAGCAGTAATAGAAAAAAATGTCTTTTTTGGTGTGCAGACTAGAGATACACCCTGTGAAGTCATCATCAAAAACCACTCTACTGTTTTGGGGAAAACAACAAAAAGACTTTAAAAAAATGTGAAGTTTTTGATGTGTCAGTTTGGATGCTCGTTTTTTTTTTTTTTGTCCTCTAATTGTAAAGTTTTAGAAAATTACATTTTCTATATAGCCCAGAGATACAGACCAAGGGACCAGCAGGCATTCATGTACCAATTAGCTTAATTACTGTTCTGAAACACATCAGACGTTCAGATTTTAAATGCTTACTACAGTCTGACTATAAATATAACAATTATTCTGTTTACCAAGTCAAGCAATCCTCACACAACACACACCTAACCCAGGGAGACAACAGAGAGAAGATATCAGCTCCATGAAGCTAAAACATCTCTGAAGTTATTCCCCAACCCTCTCCGTGCCTCTTCTTTCCTTCTTTCAACTTTTTGCCTCCCTCACCATGCCTCCATGCATTTTTGGTGCCACAGGGCAAAGTCAACAGTATTGATGAAAACCAAGACAACTCCATCTTCAACAACTTTGAGGTTCAGGCATATACCCCAAGGTCATTCTCCACATACCTGCAATAACCGATAAGAGACTTTACACTCCTCACTCCATGGACCCGGGAAACACTGAATAGCAAGAACTCTAAGAAATATAAAAACCCTAAGACACTCGTTACATTACCAAAGTAATACATCACTGGTAATGTCACTGAACTCTTACCTAACTCAGATGGCACCAGCTTCAACTCTCATAAGTGCACAAAGAGCCAAAAAGGAAGCTGTAGTAAAAGGAAATGTGTGGACAGTTTTTTCTTTGGCTAGCTTTACAGCATATCTATTTAGACAAGTTTCTGTTTCAGACTGCAAAATCTGGCCTGGGAAGTATTTAAATTAAAGCACATAATGTAATGTTATTACAGTAGTTGAGCATGTCCTCAGCTGCAGCATTTTACACTTTACTGTAACACTTGCAACCGTGAGCAGGCCAGAACACAAAGTATGCCGGTGAAAAGTTTCTTCAGATGTGTTCATTTTTTGGGGGGGGGGGAATAAAAGGAAAAGCGATATACTGAATGCCAAGGAATGGTATTCTTACATTGCTTTGGAAAAAGAAAAACAATTCAATAAAAGGCACAGAAAATTTGCAACACCTATAATTCCTGCAGTGCTTAATAAAGACAAGTTTACAACGTTTGGGGGAGGGAGGTGAAAAAACCCCCCATCAACCCACCAAGCAGAAAAACATAGTCTAACGAACACAGATATTCGATGTCAAGTTTTTAACTGATGGTATTTTTTTGCGACTGAGTGATTTCTGTTGTTTTAATTATAGTAAAAGTGCAACTGCTCAACAGTGGTTAGCCACAAGTGGAAATTTTTGATATACCAAACCCAAGCGGCATACAGGTGAGACAACCGTAGTAGTCCACAAACGTTTCTCCTCAGGTCATTTTAAAAATTTCCTCCATGAAGCAAGCTTTCTTGCTAATGTATGCACCTCAATGCTGTTACAAGTGTCCCTTTAGTGAGCAGGTTGCATGTGGGAGATCCTGAAGGGGAGAAAGAAAAGATGGCTGAATGGATATTACATTCCTCCAATAACACCTCTGATTCTACCACAGAAAACAGCTTCTTCTTCACTTCTTCCCTGCCATGCTGATTACTGAGAGAAACAGATGCTTTCAAACCCATGCTAATAACATATTGCAGATTGCAGGTAACAAACCGCACCTGCATCGTTAGCCAATTCCTCACACCCTCATCTGTTCTTCTCGTCCGTGACCCTACACAAGTTTCTGAATTGGATATTACTAAAATACACTGTCTGTTTCTGTGTTAGCAGATCAACAGCAGACCTTTAAACTCCTGTTGTTCTCAGATTACAGTCTCCTGTTAATTTGACCTGCTTAGTAAATCTGGTCCTGAATGCACTAATAATCTCGTGATCCCCTCCCTTACTCATTTCTACAGGGAATCACCACAACATCAGGCAGAATGCACAGGAATAATTAGTTGAATGTTCTTGCCTCGAGGGAAATCTGGTGCTCTGAATCTGACTGGACAGGAGTACAACAATAAGGAGACCAACCACTCTTTGAGAAAGACAAGTTGCTCATTATAGATCACTCACTGAGCTACTGTTTAGATACACAAAGGATGAAAATGTCTCTCAAACAGTGATGATGTCTTTTAAACTGTAGACTATTCTGCATTTATGTTCCTGTCATCTATCCAGTATGTCGTACAGAATTGAAAATGTCAGATTATTATTTCCCTTTTGTCCAACCAACAATCCACAAAGCAAATAGATTTGAATAATGTGTTGTAGTTTTAAACTTTGTAATAGTTGAATGCAGTTTATAAAATCCCAAATATAACACATCATTCTGGTGTTCTGCAGTCTAAGTTTTACTTAGTGTGATCTTAATAATCTTTGGCTCGGTTTCTATGATTTCACCTCTTATGATTCTTGCTCAAATGAGGTGAGGAGGAGGGAAACTGAGGAAGAATTAAGGACTTTATGGATTGCCGTGAATTTGAGAGTCCAGCAGGTGGTGGACAGAAGACTGCTCTTGAAGCTGAAATCAGCCAAAGGGACTGCACCCTTTATTGGCTGTTTTATGTATTTATACAGGAGAACTTTATTAGGAATAGTTATTGTTTTGCTATTTGGGATATGTGGTGTCATATCTGTGTTGAACCTGCCAGGTCAATGTAATTTCCTGCTAAGGATTAATCATGGATATATCTGTTTATGTTTCTAATTAACATCACGTTGGCATGTCTTCAAAACACTGCAGTCAAGCGGTCACTAAATAAATAAAAACGTAGATTAAGAATCAATAGACATTTATCATTTAATGGTCTC